TGGGACAGAGAACAGAGCGGTGGAGTTTTGAGCGCACCTGCAGAGGGCTGCACCGGCTGGACGCTGCAGCGTGTCGGGTTGCCTACCCGGGCCCGGCCGTACGTACGACCCACACCTGCTCCGCACTTGCACCGCTCGCCTTCGCTATCGAATCGAGACTTCCGCGTTTCATCACACATTTCAGCCGCAAATGATGCCGGCAAAAGGCGCGGCGTACTCGCGGATAGAGTCTGACCGGCCGTCTCGCTCGCTCCTTCCCACGAAATACCATTAAAAAGTGTCGGTTCGAGTCTGCGCTCCGCGCGGCGTTCAATCCCCGAGGCGCGCGGGCGGCCAGCCATTGTGAAGCGCCGGCGAAATACTAAAGTCCCCCATTGTCCTCGCGCCAATATACCAGAGTTCGCGCTCGCGGAAAGGCGACGACGTCAAAGTGCAAGGGTGTCCTCGGTGGCCGCCTGGAGTTCCCCGGGGGGCCGGGGGTCCTCGTCGCCGGGTAACAAGGCCTCGCGTCCTCCTGGGCCCGGCCCCCTGACTGCGTGGGCCGCGGGCCGGCTCCAAAGGCCAGTCAGTCACATCCAGCGGCAGCCGGCTCGCCCCGGCCCGGCCGGCCCGCCTGGCTACGCCCAGTGCTCTTGCCCTTTTCGCCTTTTCCGCCGAGGCCTGAACCTTCGCCAATCCATACAGGAGGCGGTGCCTGCCTGCCCGAGCGCGCCAGCCAGGGACGGCCGTGGCTCGCCTCCGATTGTGTTCCATCTTTGTCCGTCCAGTCGGGGGACCCGTGAGGGGCTGCCAACTGCGTGCCATGCCGTGCCGGCGGGCAGTGCTCGGAGTACAAACGACCAACGGAAAAGTCCGAAATATCCTTTGTGAACTACTCGAATGAAAAAGATTGAAACTCCTGGCTTGTTTGCAGAAAGAGAGGTGACCCGGCGGTTGAGTCGAGAGGACTGTGGTGGTCACGGTGCTGGGAGCAGGGACTGGGAGAGGGAGGTCGTGACCCCAGGCGGGCCCGAGTGGAGGGGAGGGAGGGGGGGCTGTTTTGATGGAGCAGCTAGAATGGGAGAAAGGAAAAGGGGAAAAATTGGCTCGCTTTATGAGGTTGCCGCAACATTCCGTCCGTATAATTGCGTGTGGCTGCGCAGAGGGAAGGTCTCCCGCCTCTCGCACGGACCTGGCAAGGACGCCGCCAATCACTGTTCTATGGAAAAAGATAGAAATTGACGGTCGCCAATTTGTTTCTGATGGTAAACAGCCTGGGCGGGGCAGGGCCTGGGCGCCGGTCCCGCCACGCCCTCGCCGCCCTCGCCGCCCTCGCCGCCGCCTGCGGGACACGAAAATGACGAAACGAGGCCGGTCGTCGGTGTTGTCCTGGCCGTCCGGCCGCTGGGCCGGGATGGTCGTCTGTCGTGCTTCTTTTTCCCTTGGCGTCATTTGTTTTCTTTTTTCCTCACACACCCCCTCTCTTTCTCCCGTGCCTCTTCTTCCCCCTCCTTATTCTCTTTTCGTAACTTTTTATTCCCGCTCACCAGTTGTTTTTTTTTACACCCATCGGTAAGCTAAAGCGGCGTGGTTTTGTGGCAGGCCGAAGATAAACGAGCGCTTGGGGGAGGAGGGGGTGGTGGCGGAGCGGGACAGGGCCGACCATCGCGCAAGGACAGTCGTGCCGAACGTCAGGGTGAAAATGCATGAAAATGACTTTTCATTTTCCGTTTGTCGCCCGCCCCGCCTGGCTTTGTTTGCGTGTGCGGAATTTTTATCCGCACCCCTCGTTCAGCCAAAGTGCTCGCCGTTTCTGCTCAAACAAAATTACGCGATCGCTCTCACTCTCTCTCTCCCTCTCTCCC